AGCAGTAGCCCATTTATCACTACCCACCCCGCTCGATGCAATGGCCAGCGCGGTTTTGATTATCCTGCTCGACGATCGATGCAGTATGGATATATTTTTTGTTTGTGTATGCACGTACACAGCTTATTCAGTATCGCCATTTGTTCGTTATCTACAAATATCTGAGGTTATTCAAATATTCCTTTCTTTTTCAGATGCAATATGGGTCGTATTCAATCTTATCTATCCGGCAAACGTCTTCTACGGTTACTCCTCGGAATTCTGTTGATTTTCTTATTTTTCCACCTGGTCACTTTCATCCGCAGTTTCACATCCGGCGTCCAATACACAAGTCCTATTCATGAAATCACCCATTTGTTACTTCGTTTTAATGCGAATCGAAGCAACTTTGTCCCGGGTGTGGTTATAATCGGTCGTCTCAAATCCCCGCTACCCAACTTTCGAGACTCATCCTCGGACACTAAGGAGTCAACACAATCGACTCGTATCGATTTCAACATTACTCCGTTAATCTCGACCGGATCGGAAGATCTAAATTTTCCTCTTCATCTAGACTTCCCGGAACTGGTTCGACGAGTGTTAGCAAATCAGAGTGTTCCGGTGAAACCGATTAACCAACCAAATTTCCGAATCCTTGTCTCCAATTCCCACAAGTGCCATTCCTCTTCCCTCGTGTTCAGTGAGCGACCAGATTTATTAATTCTCATCAAATCTGCCCCGTCGCATTTCGCTCTGCGTGATGCAATCCGCGTCGGCTGGGGTGATGAACGGTGTTGGGGTGGCCGTCAGATTGCGCGACAATTCCTCTTGGGAACAGTATCTCCGAGCACGTCACAGACCGCTGTCCGTTTGAAACAAGAAATCGAAACCTATGGTGATATCATCCAACAAGATTTTGTTGATCACTACTATAACAATACGTACAAGTTGATGTTCGGCTTAGAATGGGCTGTACGATACTGTTCAAACGCGCAACTGATCATGTTTGTGGATGACGATTTTTTTGTCATCCCCCAAAATGTACTCGCCTATGCCGAGGGTATCAGCGAGGGTATACGGGATCGATTGATCAGTGGCTATGTGTGGTCCAACGCTGTCCCGGTTCGCACAAATCGAACGCAACGTGGCAAGTGGTTTGTTAGTAAAGAGGAATTCCCCGACTCGCACTATCCGCCGTATGTGGCTGCCGGGAATTTCTTTCTCAGTATTCCGATGGCTCGTGAATTGATTGTGGCTTCTCACTACACCAGATACCTCCGATTTGATGACGTATTTTTGGGCATCATATTGAAGAAACTAGTCCGTACACCGATTCATTTGAAACAGATTCACGCTTTCCACGGTCTCACTAAAGCTGCACCGAACCTCGCACAAATGATTTCTAGCCACCAGTTTAGCGATCCGGTTTTACAATTGGAAACATGGGACCGCTTAAATTGCAGCCAGTTCTGTGTGGAACGGTGATTTGTCCCGTAGGCCCCATCCACCTGTTCCGCATAACAATCCAGTGCCAGACATATCGCGCGCACGCGCGCTCTTTTCAATCAAGTTACCGGCGCTATCTTATTCACATTTATTAGCCCATGTATAGCAAACTTTTACCAGATCTGATTTATTCTTCGATTGTATTTTCAAATATGCTTTGAAACTGTGGTCCACCTCATTCCCGTCCCAGTCGCGCCCTTTTTCGTCTCGCTCATCTCTCCATATTCGCTCGAACCATAAGTCCAGATTGTCAAGCGGACCCACCGAGTCACATCCCGCAAACCAGTGGTACGAATGTGGAAAAAGCAGGAAAAGCCCTCACATTTGAGAGATATCATCTTTCCCAGACCATTATTTTTGTTACTTCATCCACTCATATTCGAGTGAGCTATTCGAACCGTGTTTTCTATCTCTTTTTTCTTTCCTTTTGTCGTTTGTTTCTTATTCAGCTGAATAGATTCCACGGTCAAATTCGGAAATCACGCTCTTTTGATCTTTGTTTCTTTATAGCATGCCATCTAAAAGTGGGGCGCATAGATAGACATTTGGTTTTTGCAATGATCGAAAAGTCACGCGCGACACGATGGAAACAAGACATCTGGGTGAATAAGTTCGTTTCCATTTATCTATGCTCCAGTCGATGCATGCGGTTACATGTGATTAATAATGTCAGAAAAAAAACAGGTGAGGTTGAGTTCTGTCGGCTTACATCTGACTCCTAACGTGTATTTGTGCGTCACATTTCTCAGAGTCCCATACTCGAGTGATCGTGTGAGTGCAGTTCAAACCTTGCGCAAGTTAGTTCTCAACATTGGAGGAGGAGGAATAATTTGTACAGGATTGCTTATGTCCACCGGGTTGCAGCTAGGAGGCTACAGTTAACTGCTCTTACGTGCGCGGGTTTGAAATGCGTTTAACCGCATCCGCTTAGTCGGCCACCGTGGTCAACCGCTTGTTCAACAAATCTGGGTGGTGTTTTTTCGAACACGGTACGATAATTGCGGCCACATACCGGTGTAAAGGATTGCTTGCTCACGCCAAGAACCTGCAGAATACGATACGTTATTCTTCGTTGCAGTACATGATTAGTTTTTCTGCCAATATCAGTTTTCTGCGCCCCACAGATTAGTCTTATTGGTTGAGTGGCATATGTTCTTTTGAAATTAACCTCGGGAAAGACTTGCTTCAGTTTCCAAACTTTTAAATGAAAACTACGGAAGGTTCTGAAAAGATCTGCGCGTTCGGTTTACTCGGACCGATGCATTTTTGTGATGCCTTTACGTGTTCTTCCGGCTTGCTTGTCAACTCGGTGGTGAAGGGAACAAATCTATTCGAAGCTCAGCTGCGTCCCGTCACGCTGGGCAAATGTCGCATCATCGTCGTCGTCGTTTCGTGTGTTCGCTTAAGTTGTATGATCAACAAAAAATGTGTGCCGTCGCGTACTGCGTTTGTTGGGGTAGCCTGGGTCGGGAGTGTTTTCATTTAAGTGCGAGGGTGAAAACCCATTGTCTGGGTACGAGCCACGGACTCCTAACAGAATCATGCGAACTGAGAAACACTGGATTTTAACTGAGGAAATTAGCCCGTTTTAGCCACGACGAACGAGAGAACCAAGGTGTTGGTGACGTGTCGGCCCTCTTGGAAGGCCTTTTCAACTCGTTTTAATCGGTTAGTCTCGCGTCACAAGCAATTATAAGGCGATGGGATGTAATTCGAGCATGTGTTAGTGATCGTTCGACGTGTGGTTGGGACGAGTGAAATTGGTTTGACGCGCGCATGCTCGAATCACATCACATTCTACACGATGTCATCCCATCGCCTTATACTTACTTGCCAGTAACATTAGATTAACCGATTAAACGACATGAAAAAGGGCCGACACGTTGTGACCAACACCTTGCTTTTTCGTTCGTCGTGGCTAATACAAGCTAAGTTCCTCAGTAATCATGAGCACGACGCCAAAGTTTTTCAGTGAGATTTGTTCCAACCATGGATCTCACGTGATTAACTGCATTCTAACCTTCCAAAAAGAAAGTGTGGGAATCGGTTCCAGAACAGTCAGGCCTTGAATGTAACTGTGACTTTACACTGCATGGCTATCGTCACACGGTACATGTGCCATGGTCGGTTTTACCCCTTTTCTGAACTCGAACAAGCGTAAATACCAGTTTTGATTTTAAACAATATCGCGAAAGTAAAGCGCCCAAATAGTTTTTTTCGCAATCCAATGGTAAATTTACTGTGATTAGCGCACGGCCAGTAATGAGAATATGCGCCTGTATTTATTCCGGGGTCTGTACAACGAGAAGGGCGAATTGTGTTCATGCAGTGCACTGTGAATTTGTGATAACCTCTGGGGGGAACCTGTTATTTGAGGCAGTCAATCAGTTCGCATCGGCACGGTTGGGATAGTTAGTAGCTTGGATAATATTCCACGATGGGTGTCAGTATTACATTTGTACACGTACATTATCGGTCCGATTCGTTCATTCTTCGCGTTTTAGTGCTCTGTGTGGACGAGTCTAGTGTCAGTCCGGAACTGGAATGAAACCAAATAGCGCAAATTGAACGACAATGTACAAAACGCAATTTGAATTCGACTTACCAGTACAGTACGTCCATTTCACAGCTGAACTGCGATGTAATGACACTATATGGAACTGAGTTTCCATTAATTTTTTTTTAGTCAAAATGATCTGAGCAGAATCGATGTTGATCATCTAATTTAAATGCTCTCGATCAGCTCTGTCCACACATACATCATAATGGGAATTCCGTATATGAACATTTATATCATTACGGTGGATCAAGTGAAAAAATGTTTGTTTGTCAAGTAATTATCAAAAAGACATTTGGAATTGAATGAACGAGCAGAGTAGATGGTTATGATTGAAAAGTCGGGTGAAAGATGAGTCTAGAAACAGTTACGCAATGAAAACCAGTCAGCTGGTGAATCGTAGAGCGTTGAAGATGGTTACGCTATGGCCATAACACGAGAACGTTTCATTTAGGTGAAGTCAGAAACCAATTAAAACGGATGTAGAATGGTTATACAAGCAAACAATTGGTCAATCAGGCACGCTAAGGGAGTTACGTAATATGGGAATAAGGAGGAATGCGCGTAGGGGATGGGGGGATAGAGGGCAATTGTGGTGAATTGACATCGGGATTGTACCTTTGCTTGACCTAGTCAGTTGCAAGTCTAGGAAATGTACTGAGTCAATACTCTCACATTACAGCGCGAACTTGGTATTCCTATGCAGCTGGTCTATTTTGTTGAACAAAACCTTGGCATTTGGTTCGTTTGTGCGTCGGACTAATTTGTCAGCGGGAGATTACTCTGGAAATAAGTTCGCTTTCAGTCTTGTTCTCCATCTGTTCTTTTTTTACAAAAATAGCTAATATTGGGCCAAGTGGGCTTCTCATAGTTATTAGTTCTATGTGCCGTTGAAAACTAGCTGCACATTACAGACATGCGATATCAGTAGCGTTTTTAATTCATTTTCTCCAGATCCAATTTCCCTAACATTTATGAACCTTCACGGCTTATTACCTCGCTGCTACGTCAGTGAACAACAACTTGGTAAGAGGCAAAGAGACAATCGCCATAAACAGTCTAGTAGTGTAGGTCCCCTACCAACTGGAATGTTTTTTTATCCAAAATGGGAAACTATCTTACGAGTTGGTGAGTTGGTCATTGACGGAATCAATCGCAAAGAGCCCCCCACCAATTTTTCGAAGCGTTGGTAAACCATACGTATGTGGTATTCGCGTTCCACAGGGTCTCAGATTATTAGGGGTAGTCACTCCACTTTTCCAAAACTGTTTCAAATGGGTACTGATCTCTGATCTCTCTCGCTCGTACGCCCGTGCTTCTCATTACTTCGGATCAACTTTGAACTGGTGACTACTATCTTTGAGAGTGACTATCATATTCCACACCTATTTGTTTGTTATTTGGTTATAATAACAACTCTACTGGCTTTGTACGGTGGACACATCACAGTAGTATCACCATTCAACTTTTTTAAGGCTTTCAGATAGTCCTGTGTTAAGATACAGTTATGGCTGTGTTTTTGACTCTCGACTGACGAACGAGATCTAGATTTGTACCACACTTCCGCATCTGGTACAACGGGTCTAAGGTCTTTCAAATGGTTGGCCAAATTTTCAAACTGTTTCTCAGTTTCAAAACTATCTATCTTTCTATTCGATATTCCAAATTCGAACTGAACATCGATCGCGATAACCCCTAGAGTATCCCATTTACCGAGTCAAATTCTGCAAGTTCACTCTCGAATTTAAGCTCCGGAGGTGTAGTGAAGTGTAATAAAACTACACAGCAACAGTCAAATTGAATTTTAGCATAGCATGCTTGGATTAGCCCATTCAAGAATGCCGTGTGTCTCTTAACAATCGAATGGGCTAATCCAAGCTTACTATTCTAAAATTGATTGAGCCATTCGCACAAGGTGATGATCATCGACCGTGTAGCTCAGGGGTAAGGGTTTGAAGTCCCAACCCGAAAGTTCGCGGTTCGTGTCCTGACAGAGATACAAAAAGTACGCACTGCTGACGAGTCCCAAACAGGACGAAACAGCTGTCCAGTGCTCTTTGTCGGTTATCACAAACATTTCCATCCCAGTCAAATTGAATGTTTAAGAGATAGAAAAAAGTCGATTTTATTAAGTTCGGAAACAATATATTGAAGAAAGTTTAGATGGAGCTCACTTGTTAACTTCTGTCTGTGTTGGTGACTACATGTCCATGTTTGGGAACATCAGATTTTTGATAAACGTACATAGAAGATGTTATATTACGGAATTCTGAATTTGGGGATTTATGAACACGAAAGCACGGTCAGTCCGTACGCAAATGACGGCCAAATTCTGTTGGCATTTTTACCGAGAAGTGGACAAAAGAAAATGTGTGCTGTTCTGAAAGTTTAACAACTAAGTTGTTCACCGAGACCGAGAAAG